CAAGGAAGTATGACAGTTGTGGCTGGGAGCTGATGAGAAGTACATGCATCAAATGGTAGCGTACTGGTCAGATTGACAGGTGTTAAACCACCCAGAGCTTTGAGGGAAAGACTGTCCTTTGTTCAAGAGCTATGAATAGCAATGTAAATTTTGTAGGTATATTAGATGGGGACAGAATGGTGAGATGCCATGATTGTTTTTTCATTTGTGAAAGGTCAGCTATTTAAAAAAAGAATTCAAGTGATTATTTACGAAACTTACTGCTTCTAGGCAAGATTCACTGGTGAGTTGGGTTAGGACGTGATAGTGAAGGTGAAGAAGTAAATGTTTTTGCAGTGTGGTTTAGTAAGGTAAATGGCATGAAGGAAAAGAAACAGAGTTGCATGGAGTCTAAAGTTTTCAAAAGATGGATCAGGTGAATAGAAAATTGTTTGAGAATGAATTGCGGAAAGAAATGAACACCATAATGGAGCTTGAATGAAATAAGATAAGGAATGATTTAAATTTGATAAGAAGTGAAGGGGGCATTTACAATTTCTCATGGGACATGAGAGAAAAGAAAAGGAAGAAGAAAGCAAAGAGCACTCAAGGGAGAGATTTCCATGGGAAACGTTGTCAGAAGTAAACCAACCAGGTTTCAATTAAGTTACAGAGTTGAATTGAAGGTTCACATACAAATAGAATCTGGTCTGTGCATCTGGATTTCCAAAGAACGAAGTCAAAGAACCTGAGAGAAACAGTAAAGCTGGGGCACTAGGAATTAACCTCTTAATATTATCATGCACTTTCTCACAAAAATGATAAATTACAGTGTATTAGATTTCTGGACAAGACTGACATAAACTAAGACCTGAGGCATGATAGGATACATCTTTGAGAGCTTTATTATTTCTTACTATTTTAAAGAACACTCACAATATCTTTAAATTTTCCATAACCTTTTTTATTCTCAATAGCTTCATTAACAGTTTCCTTCATTCAAATTCTCACTCATGGCCTTTTATAAAGGACTGAGGTGAATTGCTTCACACCTCAAAATTAACCTTTTAAACAAAATACATTTTACTGTTTTGAAAAGTATATACAGGATCTTGGGTGAACATGGCGGACAGATAGCAGCAGCTACAGAGGCTCTCTGAGAGACGCAGCTTAGAATTCAGGAATGGTGCAGAGTAAGGAATCATAAGCAAGAGGAGATATGCCCTGCTGACCCAAGAACGAACTGGGCTGAGAGAAACCAACTGGGAATGCAATCTTGGTGCTATAACAGGAACAGAAAAGCCTCAGTGTGGAAGCTGGAGCCCGCACCATTGGAAGCCGCGATTTGGGTTTCCCACCACTGCTGCTGCGTCTACATTGGCTCAGCAGGGAGAGAGACACACGAAAGCTCTGAGAACGGGAATTGGTGAACAGAGTTGAGAGCTGGTGTGCTGTGGTGGGTGGGAACACCTAGCCGACGCAATTCAATCAGACTGTGGCCGACAGGGAAGGAAGCTGGGCCTCCTATATACGCTTGCATATATAAGGAACAAAGAATATGGGAAGAGGCAGCAACAAGAAAGTCTCCTCAGCCCCCAATCCTGAGAAAGAGACAACAGCAGACACAGCACCAATAGATATAAAGCGCTATCTCCAGAGCCTCATAGACAAGTTCAGGAATGAAGTTATTAATGACCTGAAGCTAGACATAAGCAGAATAGTTAGAGAAATGCTAAGCACTGCCCAAGAAAAAACAGATGGTGGAATGGACGAACAAAAAAAGAGGGGAGAATTGTTTGATGGAGAAAATACAGAAAGCATAGAACACGTGAAGCAGGTTCAAAGAGATTACCAGGAAACTAAAAACTCTATCGAAAACTGTCATAACAGCTTGAAAGATACTAAGTGAAAGGGCCGGACCGGACACTTTAGCCAGGAAAAGCCTCAGCCGGAATTAGGGAGCTCCTGTATTGCTCTCACCATCTTGTTTTGACTGATGTTCCTCTATTCTGTTTTGCTTGATAGTACCAGGTTTGAAAGTTTAGGCAACAGCTGTGAAGATAGTGGGATTAATTATGATGCCCATTCTGGTTGACTGTTATCTACTTTTGAAGACCTATAATGTCTCCAATGTTTTGGTTTTGTTGGTTTTGTTCTTTACTGTTTTGTTCAATTTTATTATAACTGATGATATAGGCAATTCTATTAGAGATAGCTGGAGGCATTATGGTAACCATTGTTGATCACCTTGTATTATGCTTTTACATTATCTATTATGTCCACCCTTTTGATTTGACTGACTCTGTTCTGTTATGTCACATTTGGTTCTACTCTCTTCCAAAAAAGTAATAAGAACAAAATCCAAAATGTATAATTGTCAATTGTCACAAAAGATAGGAAAAGAAAGTGCTCTAAACGATATAACTGCATGTATATTTAAGTGTATAAGATAGATAATGATATTACTGAGTTTTGTTGGATCATTGAACAGAACTGTTTGTAGTCTCACTGTTGGAATGTCCACTTTATAAGCTTTAATTTTGTAACTTGAACAATATGTAATCCATTAACTAGTGATTTCCTACTGGTTTTTTTTTCTGTAAATCTGTATAACTTGTACCCTTTCTCTGCTTTTTTTCTTTTTCTCCTTAAATAAAATTTAAAAAAAGAAAAGTATATATAATAAGAAAGATGTGTATACATTTTTCAGAATTTATATATATGTATATATAAAGAAGCCAATTAACACACAACTTGATCAAAAGCATGTGTGCATTTGGGAAGGAACAAAGAGAATTAGGAGAACAGGAAACTGAGTAATTTCAAATATAAAATATCTCAGCACTGTGTGTTGGTAAAGTCTTTAACCTTCTGTGATGGGGTAACTTGCCTAGAATTCTAATTACTTGTGTGTCTCAAAACTTCCAGGTGTATAACCCAGTCAAAATAGTATTGGCAATTTACAGGAGTTCCTCACTGAAGATAGACGTCATGATGTATAAAACGCATCTGCAGCCATTTTCCCATTGTACAGAGTCAGTCTACACAAAAATTGTTCAGTTCTTTCTTGAATTTCATGAGCCAGTAGATTTATCTTTACTGGTTGAGTTTTTATTAGTCAAAAACAAAAAATGTACTAGTTTAAAGCCAAATGGCCAGGAGTGATAGCACATGCCTGTAATCCCAGCACTCATGAACCTTATACAAGAAAATAACAAATGCAAGTCCAGCCTGACCTAAACAGAAAGTTTCAATCTGTCCTCAACTACATATGGGGACGCTGGCTCAAAAAAGGGAAGAAAAGAAAAGAAATAGCTAATATGCAAATTCTAAAATAGCCTGCTACTTATAGCAACATAAAATGTTTAAAAATTATGCATACATAATATGTATTTCAGATGCATACAATATGAAATAGTAATGAGATGTATAAATCACGGAACTCTACAGGCACAATGTAAATAAGATGTACATGTGAAACAGAGAGAAGGAAAAGGGTAGAATGTAAGGAATTGGCTCATCTCACATAATTATGGAAGCTGATTAATCCAAAGATTTGAATTTGGCGTGATGGAGACCCAGGAGTGATCTTCAAGTTTGAGACCCAGAAACAGCTAGTGCTTTAGTTCAAATTTAAATGCAGGAAAAAAAGTGTTCCAGCTCAGAGGCAGTCAGGCAGAAAGAATTCTCTGTTATAGGGCAGTTTTGTCATATTCAAGCCTTATACTGTTTGAGGTTCACTCATATTAGGGAAAGCAGTCATGTTAGTTTATCAAGTAAAACCTTAGACACAAACCTTAGACCCATAGACACACTCAAAATAATGTTTGAACAGATAATCTGGGGTGCTATGACCCAATCCAGTAGACACATAGCATTAGCTAGCACACAACTTAATCCTATAAATTTGTTTTCCAATAGCTTTGCATCATGTTGAGAGCTACAGAATATATTAACACTGCCGTTGAGTAGACCTAGATACCAAGACGTTGTGTGTTGCTGAACGGATCTTAACCTAGCTCTAATGCTGGGCAAAGTCCTAATAAAGAAACAGCAGAGGTAAGGAAATTGTGTGCAGAAAAGAAAGAAAAATCCTTAAAGTGAACTAGCCAGGATGTTTGTGTGAGTAATCTATCACAATGGCAGAGGCGTTGTAAACACTCAGAAAACTCTACAGGAGTTTGCAAAAGTCTATAGAGCAGAAAAGCTCAAGGTGAATTAATTGGAAGAGATTGCACATCAGGAAAACCAGAGGGGAAAGTGTTTGAAACTGTGAGAGTAAAATGGAAATTGCCGTAAAGACCACAGGGAGTTGGAGATGCCAGGAATATAGGACACAGCTTCTTTGATGAAGGGAATATTCTAGTTGTCTTTTGAGGATGCTAAACGCCAAACTTACGTTCTTTTTCACGTTACGGTGTGGTTTGGGGTGAGTCAATTATGATGTCAAATGTCCCTAGAGGTAAACTGAGCCCAATAATACTCTCCACGTGTCTTGTCTTCCTCATAAAGTCCTTGGAAGAATGGAGTGTCCTACAGAGATTTCTATAGCACTTTTTTTTCCCCAAGAATCTCAAAGAAGTTTATTTCTGCCAAATGGAAATATACATGATTAATAGCATCACTTCCGAAAGTGGCAGAAAAAAGGATTTCATAGCTTTGAGAACTGTGCTGTCAAAGTCAGCAATCTCCAAATACTACCACTTTATCATATCATTTCAGAAGAGCAGTACTATGGGAAGCCTTCAGTTAAGATGTTAAACTTGATCTGGTTTCCTAATTAAGAATTTAAAATGTCTCCCAACTGCTGATTTGTTTATTTGACTTCATTAGAAAATCACACATGGATGAATTCATAATTACTCTCAAATTACAATCACTTGTTTATTAATGTTAACAAACAGACTTAGTACAACTGTCTATGACATGTCAGTTTCAAAATGTTGTGAAGCAAACTGTTACTCTGGGTTAATTATGTTTAACTTTTCACATTTGGGATTCTAAATGATACTAATACTTACAGAGTCTTGGAACATGCTATCCTTATGCTGGACAGAATTTAAAAAGTATACCTTCTGTTCTTAAATGATCTGATAAAAAAACAGAAACAATTCATTTTTTTGAAAATATTATAAATCAAACTGTATTCTACTTCAACAAAACCTGTTTACAGAATAGATCTGCATTAGAATTTCTTTCCAAGAAAAAAATCTTTGATGTTGGTTTTAAAAGTTCTTTGAGAGGCCAGTGATATAGTTCAGTGGTACAGGGCCTGTCTGACAAGTGCAAGGTCAGGAGGTCAATCCACAGTAGGACAAGAAAAAAGAAAAGAAGAGGGGAGGGGAAGGGAAGGGAAGAGAGGGGAGGGAAGGGGAGGGGAGGGAAGGGCAGGGGAGGGGAGGGGAGGGGAGAAAAGAAAGTGTTTGACCAGTTCATGTTGCCTGAATGTTGAAGAAATGAAGAAAAGGTTTACAGTAAATAAGCTACGTCCCTCTTGTTTATCCATGTATATTGGGAATGTATAATTTTAAAGATATAACTTGACACTCAAATAATTCTTCATTTACCAAAAAAATGCAGAAAAAAATGAGAGAAATGTGAGTTCTTCCATGAACTTAATTGTTTTATCTTTGTCAGGTTTTCATAAAACTAGATTTGTAATTATTAAACAGGGTCCTGCACAAATCAATTCTGTAGCCTACAGGACTTTTCTAATTTGTACCTAATTGACTAAAACACCAAGATGAATTATAAAATGTTGCGAGTTGGAAAAAGAAATAATATAATTATTGAGGCCCCAGAGCAATGAATCAAACCAAGTCTTTGTTAGACATAGAACAATACACCTGAACACTGACTACAAGGTATCCTAGCAACATAATAGGGTCTTCACAGGTAACAAAGAGCATATAGTGGTTAAAGCAAGTAACTGCTTTTCTCTATTTTTGTATCCTATTCTTTGTTCTGCTACTAATTTATTACCCTATAAAATTATTAATGTACCTTCATGATTCTATGTCTCTTCACAAAATTAAAGCAAGTGTTATGGGCTGTTAAGAAACAAAGAGCAACAATATGGATTAAGTGATATTAGCTTATAGGCAATCACCATAAACTATAATTAAATTCATAACAATCAAAAAAGAAACAGGGCCAGGCATGGTGGTGCACACATGTAATCCCAGCACTCGAAAAATACTGAGGCAAGAGGATCACTGCAGGTTCAAATCCAGCCTGGGCTATGTAGTGACCTCAAGGCCAGCCTGAACTACTTAGCAAGAGCCTGTCTAAAAAAAAAAAAGTAAAAAGACATAGATAGGTAAGTGTCAGTGAAACCTCACACCCCCCTTAACCATCAGTAAGATTTCACAAACACTGTTCACTAGATAGCCTCGAGAGGCCAGCCTTTTCTTAGAAAGTGTTCTCAAAGCCCAGCACACAGAGCAATAGTAATTATTTCACCTCTCTCCATTCCCACTTCTGGCTTCCTGCTCCCTTCCACTCACCTTGAAAGTAGGATAATTTTAAAAGAAAATTAAAAGCAAGGGAAAAGACACTGGTGTCACATCCGCCTCCCTCCCAGCTTCAGTCCTAAAAGTGTGTCCTACACTTAGTTTCACCTTGACGTAGGAAGGGTGAGCTAGCCCTGCGGTCTCGCACCACTCTGTCCACACCCAGCCAGGGAAATGGTTTGCACTTCGAATCCATCCCTGGACATGACATAAAATTATTCTGTCAAAAAGAATCAACTGAAATCTTTTATCTTTAGGAAGGGATTGTTTTTCAAACAAAAACATCTCTTTGTCCTCTTCCAGATTTATTTTTCACTGGTCAAGAATCCACACCAAACGTTACAATGAACACAAGACCACTCCGCTGTTAAGAACTACATTCACATCTTACCATTGGTGTCTCCTTGGTGGCCATTCTCAGCTTTCTTTTCAGTAAATAGAAATCTATATCAGAGAGAAGCAAAACATACAATTAAAAATTATTTCCCTTGCAGTTAATATATTGTTGCTAGAATTTAATGCTCTTTATTTTCTTGCATTATTTGCAGCCAATTTATTAATATCCCATAAAATGCTTCTTCTGAAGTGATTTCAGTCTTCTTATTTAGCTTGTTCTAAACTCAACCACTTTGCAGTAATGAACCTGCTCCCCCTAATTAACTGTTCATGAGGAGCTTACACTCCCCTGCAAGAAAATTATTAGTAGTGTGAAATGTTCAAATGATCCCAGTGTGGGGTAAGGATTCCAGCAGGCTCAGGATTCACACTTTCGTCAATTCCTTCATAACCATGAGCTTGGATTATGAGTAACAATGCCTTCTAACTCGTACTGTAAACCCTGCCAAAAAATAGGTATATGTCCCAAGCAGGATTCCTTCAACTGTGGCTAGAAATACAACAGTTAACACTAAAAATGCATTTATTAGATCAAACAGCTCTAATTGAAAGAAACGTCAATCACTGTTAAAGACTGGAGATTAAAGGATATATAAGCCAGTCACGTGTTTCCAAATCTCACAGGGAAGCAGTGGAAACACTGCAGGAAAGTCATTTCTAACTAAAGATATAATTAAGAGTTCTGTGCACACAAAAATATCATAAACCATTACAAGATTAATTGTCACATAAGTAGATTGAGCAGATCAGAGCAGTAAGAAATCACTTTGAGCTAGAATAAGCTGAGCAGCCTCCACAATTTTAAAGATGCTTAAGCAGAGTGGAAGAAAGGGAGGATATGAAGCAGTTACAGATAGACCAGGGCATTTACTGAGTGCAGATTATGTGAGACATCAACTTGGGCCATTATTTACACTAATTTATTTAGATTTAAAAACTTGCAACTGATTGGTTTTGTATATCGATTTTTTTTCTTTTCAAAAGAAAATAGGAATAGAGAATCTACAGTTTGTAGTGGCAGAATCCTAATTTGGACACACTCTGACCCCAAGTGAGTGTTCCCAGTCTGGATGGAGGAAACTGAGAAAGAACCTGAAGTAGGTACATTTTCTTGTAGAACAGGGTACAAGAGTAGACTTCATCTTTTTTAAATTTTCATTTTCTTATTAAAGCATGTTTGCAGTACATAGTGACTGCACTCCTCGTGAGGAGTTGGTACATGTACATAACGTAACTTGATTCCTTTTTCATTCCCTCCCTCCCCTCCTTTTCCCCTCCCACCATGGCTTGGTCCCCTTCCTTTTTGCAAAGGATCTATTTCTCTACTTCCTATTGTTTGTCTTTTGTTTTTCTATTTATATTTTGGCCATTTATATTTCTCTCATGTAAGATAAACCATGCAATAGGTAAAGTTGCATATCTGATGTATTTCACTGAACATTATGATCTCCAGGATGGACTTTGGAGGGCTCTGAAAGCCATGCAGTGTGAAGTCACTGTTTCATTTAGAAAGTGTATTTTGGTTGTTGGGTTGAAATCTACTAGAGAAAAAAAGACTGAAAATAGGAAGATGAGAAAAAATAATTCAACAAACAAAAATGGTTTATACTAGATCAGTGGAAACAGAAAAGATATGGGTTTGAAAAATACCGTAAAAGATAAATCAGAAAAATTTGGCAATTGGCAGAGATTTTTCATTTCTGCAGGTACTCTTCCAAGTCACACAGATAATCAACAATTCCCAGGCACCCTTGCAGCTACATCAGTCAAGTTGCCCAAGTTCCAGTCAAAGGAGTATAAGACTAAGTGAGACTAAGTGAACCATTTCCTGGTCTAAGCCAAGACTGTCCCATGTTTCATCTTTTCCTACAGCAATGGTAGAATCTATGAGATGCAGAACCAAAGAATGGAAGGAACTTGAGTCCTTTCTTCCTGTTCAAAGGAGAGCTGCCCCACTGACCAGGAACAGTTATCCAGGACTTCATATAATTAAGAAAGGTTCTGCTATCATGAGCTATTCTCCATGTTCTTATTTATTTTTTTTATCAAATTAACATTGTTCTATCTAATACAGCAAAAGATCAAATGTCTTAGAGGTACAATTAAATAAGAATTATTATCATTTTTATTTCATGACCATTTATGATCATTTTTACTTCAATGTTGAGAATGGTCATTTTTAATAGACAGTTGGCAAGAGATAAATCAATGGGAGAATTAATTGACAATGTTCACTTAAAATTAAAACTTCCCAAAAGGGAGACAATAGTGGAATTGCCAAGTTGAAAGATCTATCTTGTAGCTCATGGTAGAAGGTAGAGGGAAGATATGGCAAGGATGGATATGACTATTTGAGAGTTACTGCAAAAGATGCTAGTTAACACTTAGAAGCCACTGAGTACCAAAGGTGTGGGGAGAAGAGGATGCAATCACACAGAGCCTGTAGAGGCAAAAGTGTGGGTGGAAATTTCAGTAAATTTCTTGAGTGATGCATGAGGAGAGCTTTAAGAACAGGTGATTGCATGCTGGGAAAGGAGCAGGAGCTACATACAGAATTTACATAATAGAAGTAAGACTATGCATTTTAAAAGGATTGAATTGCATGCAGAAGTAGGAAGATTTAGAATGAGGGTCACTACAGCCTAGTTATTTCCTACAAGAAAAGCCAAGGCTTTCTTTAATACCTGTGTGCAACTTAAGTTCTTCCAAGAGCTTTCTTTGGATTAGAAATGAAGTGAAGAGGGAAGACTTGACCTTAGGACATTCAGACAGTAAAACTGAAAATGGGACTTGTGGTCATAAACTAGCAAATTAGAAAAGGCTGTTTGATGCCTCCCATGATGCCTGGAATCCCAGCCACTCAGGAAGCTGATAGAGAATAATCACTAATTCAAGCCCAGCCCCGAAAACTTAGCAAGACCTTGTCCCAAAAATAAAAAAGTAAAATCAGGCTGGGATGTAGGACAGTGGTAGAGCATCTCTCCAGCAAGTACAAGATCCTAGGTTCAAATCACAGTATTGTCCCAAAAAGCATCCTTGACAAAGATATTGGTACCATACCTTTCAAAGAGATCACAGCATTTCTTCAGTTGAGGATCTAAATGAGATTATAATAATTAGTCAGGAAACTAAAATATTTAAATATCTCTGTAGGATATTCTAAAAAATTATATATGCATAAACACTGATAAGACCTCACTGAATCTAAATTGGAAGCAGTAACTATGTACTACTGTACTTTACAAATGTTTGCCAGCTAAAGGAAATGGCAAGGCAGAAACTGGATAAGCTAGAGGTTTTAACAATTCCCTAGATGACCGAACAATAATTTTTATATAAACATTTATAAGTAACAAGTTTAGTATTAATGGAACTACTGTGAATTTTAAAAAGCCAACAAAAGTGGAAGTTGTTTTGTTTTGCTTTGTGACTCGATCTTGCAATACTGTCCAGACTTGTTTGAACTCTTTGGTAGCCCAGTCTATCCTGAAACTTGGGATTCTCCCACTTCAGCTTCCTGAACACTGGGATTAAAGATGTGTACCACAATGTCCAGATGAAATTTGTTGTTTTAAACTATCTTACTTATTACATCATTTATATCAAGCTTGCTTCACAAACATAAACCTCCTAAATTTGAACACAATCATTTATTGGCTGAAATGCTTTTAAGTCATTGGATGCTATTCACCAACAATAACCAAAAAAATTGGGCTCTGGTTTCAATCCCATTTTATTTAAACACACAAAGGCCATTTGATAATTCACTCTGGATTTTTAAGCGCAGCTTTGTACCTTTCTTTGTAGAGCCTACTGCACGTTCTTGGACCTGAGGATTTTCTCCAGGCCTAAGCCTTCAAACAATACTTGCTACTACAAATATAATTATAAGTAAAGAGGGATCAGGGTTGAGAGTTCCTTCCAAGCAGACCCTCAATGCACAGTAATGAATGAATCCCCTGGGAGAGTTCCCAAGACATAAATTCTCCACCAGAGCGCAGGTACTGCTTAGCCAGGGTCACTTTAAAATTATTCCTGCTGCAGCAGAAAGAAGGTAATATCTTTTCCTTGCCCATCATAAGGTTCACAGCTGACACCTCTCTACCAAAAGATAGATTATCAAAGGAAAGCATAACAAATTTAGTAATAAAAATTCTACCTGGCACCAGAGCCTTTGGAAATAAGGATCAAAAGAAACAGGAGAACTGTTACTCCTACTGCTGTGAATCCAGATGTGACGGGAGGACAAAAGGCACAACCTAATGGTGACAACGGGTGGTGGGCTCAGATGCCAATGTCAGATTCTTCCTGTCCTCTGAGTCTAGGCCAGGCCTTTTTGGAATCTGCTCTCTGGGAGGAGATGGCAGGGAATTCTTTCATGACTTACTTCAGGAGAAAAAGCCAGCAGACATCACAGTATACCCTACCTGCTTCCTAGGTTTCTCAATTCCCTTTAGCATGAATACGCAGTGTGCCCTTATGCATGTTCTGTGCCCTCCACCAGACTCACCACTCCGAAGGCTGTCCGCTTGGACAGTTCCAAGGTCCTTGCTCTAGGATGCAAAATCTTGGACTATCAGAGTTTAGAAAGACTCAGGCACGTCCTCCAAGTCAAGAGTCTTTGCTGTCTGGCTTTTCTCTGTCTTATGCAAACCTTTACATTACCTATCAAGGACCAAGAACGTGGTGCAAGACTGGTCCCCACACTGCCCCTTTCTGGCCATGTGACCTTGAATCTGGGATTTAATCTTTCTATACCCAAATCTTTCTCTGTATAGAATGATCTCTGTAATTGCTACTGAACAGTTTGTGCTATCTCTAACATCTCTTCAGATGTCTGATACTCCCCGCTGCCTGCCCAAAAAATATTCTTGGAGTTTCTTTACAGTGTTTACTTTATAGAGCACTTCTCAAAAACTTTTGCCCAGAAGGAACCTCAGTAACATTTTTAAAAAATGAGTTGGATGTCTCTAATTCCAGCTACTCAGGAGGCTGAGCCATGAGTATCTCAATTTTAAGCACAGCCTGGGAAATTTAGCAAGATTGTTTCAAATAAAAATAAAGAAGTCAGGCACAGTGGCATACAACCATAATATAATACTTTGGGAGGCTGAGGCAGGGGTATCATAAGTTCAAATCCCATCTAGGCATCTTAAAGAAGCCCTATCTCTAAAACATAAAATTAAGAGAGAAGTGCTCCTGGGTTCAATCCCCAGTACCATTAAATAAATAAATCATGCATACGTGCACACATACGAACATATAAGTAAAAATGGCAGGTGTGTACCTGAGTAGAGCTCTCATCCAGCATGTGTGAAGACCCTTGGTTTGATCCCCAGTGCCATTACTGAGAGATAGAGGAAAAAAAGAGAAAGAGAGACAGATAAAGCTAGAGGCAGAAACAGAGACAGAGGCTCTGTCCCTATTTGGACAAATCTTTGTTTTGTACATGTTGATTGAAAAAAAAAAAAACAATGATCAAAAGCACCTAATGATTTATCTACTTATGACAATACATTTGCACTTTACTATTTGAAGCGGCACCCAAACAAAGTTGGAAATAGTACTCCTGATCTTCAGGGTCCATTGTGTTTATTCAGGCCGTGGACAGCACTGATTGTCACAGATTCATCTCAGCCTGCACTGATGCAGAGGCCCTTCAGAAGACATTCAGCCTTCAGATCGATCGAGAACCACTGACCAGAGATGTTTCACTGAGTAATTATTATCTTGAGAAAAGTTATTTTGCCAGTAGTTTCTTCATGTAATGAAATGGGATGTTTAATGTGGCTGCTGTTACAGTGTGACTTGTTTGATGTGGGCATTCTGGATTGGAAGGAAACACAAAGATTCTTCAACTCACCTTCACGATGCAGTAGTGTTCTGATAAACAATGCAGAAAACAATTGGTTAAAGGGCAGAATGCAGGCTTTGCTGTTTGCTAGTTTCCCTTTCTGAAAAGCTTCATTAAGCACAAGAAGCTGAGCAGCAATTTAAAAAAACGATGTGGGGAGAAGCAATTCTGCCTTCCCAAATCCAAAAATTCAGATGAGATTGCATCCAAATTGCCAGGGTCTCTGTTCCTCCAGCCTAGCTGCTATCATTCTTACTTCTATGTGACTTGCATGGCAAATGATGGAACAGAGCACAGAGATGAAAAGCCAGGACTGCAAAGACAATGAATTTGTTGTGTGCATTTGCTTGGGCGATCCACCAGCTCTTCATGGTCTCGCAAATTTCTTCCACATACTGCTGCCCATCATACAGGTGGCTGTTAGGAAATTAAAAAACATAGATAAATAAAAGGCATCAGTTGTCATGGAAACAATAGCAATTTGTGCCACCTTCCATGCAGCCAGATAGGAGAGGCTTGCTGCTGCTGTTTGGTCATTGTCCAAGGACCCAGACTGAGGGCCATCAAGTGAAAAGGGAGCCCCAGAGTTTCTGCCAAGCAAGCAAATCTATACCCCTCAAGTGGGCTGTCAAATACTTGCCTGGAATTGAGAGTTAATTAAAATACAACCCTAGATATGAGAGAACTTTGAAGAAAAGCAGATTACTCACCGCCCCCATTTCCCTCTCTGAGGTCTAATGAGGCAACTGTGACTTTTGTGCCCCAGGGTCGTCCTCCAGTGAGTGGCAGGGCACACATGTTTAGCCCTCAGCCTGATTGGATCTGTTCTCATCAAAGGATGCTATAATCATCTCTAGGAAACTATAATTAAGCTGGTGATTAAGGGTAGCATTGGGGAAGGGAACATCCCAAGGGCAAGGCTGAGCTGCCGGGGAGCACACTGATGAAGTACGACTGAGGGCAAAGCCAGGTGGCTGTGGCTTGGCTGCAGTTGATGGCTTCTTTAGCAAGGCTGCAAAATAGCTTCTGTCACAAATCAGAAACCCTCAGCCTCCAACAACAGATCCTCAATGGTCCACAGTCCCTGGAGGCTCATCCAACTCAGCCTGAGAGACGGGACACAATAACGCTGATTATATTAAATTCATGTAAAAAGTCCAGGCCCCCTGGGTGCAAAAGAAGAAGAAATTTATGAGTGGGAACCTATTGGAGGTCTCATTCGCACTCCTTACACTGTTTTCTACTCGTTAGTCCCGAGGTCGAGAGTACCTGGGTGATAGATACACACAGGGGAGCCAAATTCCAGATTAGGTACTTGAGCTTTGCTGGTGAAGTGCCACCAGCTGGTACTGGGCCTGTCCCCCAAGCAGAAAGTCAAATCCAAATGAAGGGCAAAAGAAACCAAAGAACTGGGCAATGAAGTTGGTAATTCCATGGGAACGGGGCAGGAGGCAGAAGGACACATAGAGGGACGACAAGGTTTCCTCCGGTGGGAAAAGCACAGAATTACACACAGGCAAGAGAGATGATAAAGGCTTGATTCTGAGACAGTGCCTAACCTCACCCAGAAGCTTTCCATGTGGCTTGCTAGGATAAATGTACACTGGATCCATTGGATTAAGTTTTACCACATAAGAGAGTAAATCATAAAGAGTCGTATAAATGCCAAAAGTTGGGAGGCCAGCTGCTCAGGCGGCCCTCCGGAAGGCAGAGACCTAAGCTCCTTTCAGCTTCCTATTTCACATCTGGGTGGAGGCCCCTCACCTCCACAATGGCTCTTACAGTAGCAGCCATCACAACCTCACTCCAAACAGCAAGACGGAGGAAGAAGTACAGGTGCACACTTCCTTTCCTACATTGGCTTGTTGAAAGCATCAATGAACACTTCCAAATAAAAATCACAGCCAGAATCTATTTATATGGCCATACCAGCCTGTAAGGCACATGGAAAATGGACCATTGGGTTGTATTTCTTGCTATCTGAATAAGTTACTGTTAATAACTAACAGAACAAGAGATACTTATAGGTAACCAGAAGTCCGCCAACCAAGGCATTTCTTCGCGGATTTCTTTTACTGAACCCAGAGAAAGTGTTAGCCATTTTCACACATTCAGCATCAAGGAAGTCTTTGTCTGGCTCTCTGTCCCCAGGGTCAAATGCCTTCCCCATGATTCACACAGGGCAGCCCTGGAATCACAGATCCAATGGGAAGCAAGGAAGGTGTTTTAGGAGCCCCTGTCTAGCAGAGTCTCTGGAAAATAAAGCACCAGCAAGGAACCACCACCACACAGGGCTTTGGTAGGCGTCATGGCAGCTCCTGAGTCGAACCACTCTAGCTCACACCACCTGAGACTCATGCTTCTCATAGCCATAGAAACCATCAAGGCTGATGACCTCTGTTCACTGCATGTCCTATGCCCCGGAGACTCAAACAATAAGCACCCCTTCCTCTGAAGATGCTCCTGCACTGCAGATGGAATCATAGGTAAATCACAGTTGAAAATCAGTGTGATGATAGATGTTTCTGGCACATTATATAGTAGATTCCTCTAAATCACAGGGGAGGCAATGGAAGTGTGTTACCCTAAGGTAAAACACACTGCTGGGATTTGAATGTTAAATAAACGTTGGGCTTGAAGAAGAAAAAGGAAAAGTATTTCAGGCAGCGGGAGCAGCACATACAGGAATGTAAACCTAAAGTTGGTGGTGTTGCGGGGCATGGGAGTCCTAGTGGTGCAATCTGGATGGAGCATATGGCAGAAAGGTAGGGCTGGAGACTCAGTCTTGGGCTGAGGTTGTTACTCAACAGCACAGGGCCTGCCTGGCAAGTGCAAGGTCCTGCGTTCAATTGCAGGTATCAAAAAAAAAAAAAGAAGGAGAGAAAGAGACTCACTCTTGAAGACTAACCAAAGCAAACACTTAAGTCATGCCTACTATGTCCCAAATATGCCCTAAATGCTTTATTCACGTTAATTTGTTTAATCCTTATAATGACTGCCATTTTATAGATAAAAAGGCCCAGAAAGGGAGGTCACAGAGTCAGTGTGTACCAGAGCCAGTGTTTAAATTCAGGTGTCTGAGGCCTATTTTTTTCAATTTTTTTTATTTTAAAGACATTAAGATAAAAGAGGACATAACAAATCAGGTCAGAGCAGAACAAGTTAAGCAACACAGTATTTGACCACAAGACAACCCAATATAACAGCAGCTACCATAATGTCTCTTTCCTTGAAATAGTTGAGCATACTTCATACACAGTAGTACCAAACATAACAAAATAATATAAAACCATCAAAGAGAATGAAACTATTACAGGGCATTCAGAACCAAATAACAGAAAATGAACAATGGTTACTATATTATCTCATTGTCTATAAAAATTTGTCTATACTATCACACATAATAAAATCCAATAAGATACAACATGATAGAACCAATGGAAACAGAAAAACAGAAGTATGGTAGGACTTCAAAACAAGATGATATTAAATCAGCACTGGCTATAATAATGTCTTGTTTTCTTCAAAATAGCTGTTCATACCATCACACATATATAATCAAACAACCTAGTATAAAACCATTCCAACTAATGAATGGAAACATTATAAAGCTTCAAAGCAATGTAATGGGGAATCATGATTACCATAAAATCTTATGTACTCTTACCATTTCTTACACTAGGGAGACTATACAGTATTTATACATGTGAGTTTGATTTATTTTACTTATGAGTATGGTCTCAAGTTGTATCCATTTATGTATAAATATCTCAATGTGATCATTCTTTATAGCTAAGTAGTACTCCATTGTGTATAAATACCACAACCTTTTTATCCATTGCTCAGTTGATGAACACTTAGGTTGTTTCCAAGATCTGGCTATTACAAATTGTGCTGCTATAAACCTGGGTCCACATATATCAAGTGGTATGATGTTTTCAATTCTTCTGGGAATATGCCTAGAAGCAGAATAGCTGGATCAAATGGGACTTCCAACCCCAGCTTTTTGAGAAATCTCCAGACTGACCTCCACAATGGTTGCACCAGTCTACACTCCCACCAGCAGTGTAGGAGAGTTCCTTTTTCTCCAGATCCTCTCCAGCATTTGTTATTGGTTTTCTTGATCCTGGCCATTCTTCCTGGAGTGAGATGGAATCTCAGTGTGGTTTTAATTTGCATTTCTCTAATGACTAATGATGATGAACATTTTTCATGTATTTATTTGCCATTTGTACTTCTTTATCTGAGAACTGTGTATTCATCTCAGATGCCCATTTTTGGATTGGGTCTTTGAATTTCAGGGGTCTGATTTTTTTCAGAATCTATTTTTAATCTATACATATGCTGTCCCATCCTACAGAATGGCGAAAGACAATACACCTGAGAATCCAAACTCTGCATCAGAGGCGATGAGGAACATTTGGAGGGTATTGTGCTGAATGACAACAGGAACAGATACTTGCCTTTAGAAAATCTCCCTAGAGGTATGCAGAGCAAGTCAGAGCGAGCAACACCAGAACACTATGCCAGACCTAGGACAGATGGGACCTGGTGGCACACACACCCTTCTGGCTGGTGTCTCTGCTGGAGCAGAAACCAGACTAGATCAGCATCCCCAAGTCCAGCAGCTGGACAGAGCAGATGGCATCTGGAGCTTCATCCCAGAGGACCAAGGAGGCAGAGCAGAGATTGCATCAGGAAGAGCAGAAGTCAGCACCCAGAGGACTCAAGAGTGCAGTATTAGGAGTGAGATTCTGATCTCGGGATCATTGTGAGGTAGTTGAGAGAAAGTAATCAAAAACAATTCCTTTTTAATTCTGTGAGTGGTGAGCAGGACAAAGGACTCAGCCACCAGAGCAGCAGCCTGAACAGAGTTTAAAACAAAGAATGAGCAAGAACCCTGGTGCTAGAACCACGTCTTGGAGCCTTACCAAGTGAAAGAAAGTCAGTAGAGTGTGACTCTGTGCTGTAACACGCTCTGGGCTCAAAGCTCCCTCTGGTCTATGCCACTGGACCAGGACTCCCAGTCAGGCTGAACTACTGGATCAGGAGGGGGCTCTCTGGCCTTGCCTGGGCTACAGGGGAAATAAACCAAACAGCATGTCAGCCCGGATCCCGGGCACAGTCATAAACCTAAGTCGGCTGACACCCCCAGGCCTGGATGCTTTCACCACAGGGCCACGATGCCTGGCACAAAATGGTTTAATTAAATTGTAAAAGTAATGTGCGCAACACCACTGGGAACCTTCAAAGGTCTCAGCCCAAAGACCTTGTTTGTATTAATCAGAGTTCTGCAAAGAATCAAAATCGCTACCTTCTAGTTAAAGGGGAATTGGCCCTCGGGATTATGGAATCCCGAGAGACCTACAGTGAGCTGAAGACCTAGGAAAGTTAAAGAAAATATTTCCAACCCCCAAATCCTCAAAATCAGGAGACCTACTTCTGAAGGTCCAAGAACTGTCTTCGATAACTCAACAGGCAGGAAAGGATGGAGTCCCCAGCTTGGGCACAGAGAAAATCCAGCCTTCCTATTTATTTGTTTTAGTCAGGCCTGAATCAGTGAGGATCTATCTTCTTTACTCAATCTATTGATTCAAATGCAAATTGCTTCTGGAAACACCCTCACTGGCACACAGAGAAATATTGTTGGTCACCTCTTAGGGCACCCCTTACCCCAGCAAGCTGACAACTAAAAGTAACCATCAAAGAACTGAAGGCCCACAAAGATCTTTTAGAAGTGACCATGTCGAGCAGCCTTTCCCAGATCTGTTTTGACTACGGACACTTTACTCAGCTTTTTAGAGCAGAACTAACACTTGCAGGGCTATGAGGTTACTTAAAACACCAGAACACTGGGACTGAGGAATCAGTTAAATTTTTAGCACTGAGATCAACAGGAAGTTAGGATGAAGTTCAAAGAAAATAAAATAAAATACCTTGATTCATGAATGTTTCTGTTTACAAATATATTTGGCTCAAAAGCAGAAATGTTTGGAAAAAATTTGCTTCTCTTCTCAAACTCTGTATCAGGTGATAAACAGTACCACAGCATCTTCCCCACACAAACACAAATGCAACCATCTTTCCCAAGATTGTAAAACAAATGAAGTGCATAAATCATGGTACCACTGTAGTTATCCTGACTCTCAATGGCAGACTCACTGAAACAGGAAAATAGCCACCTTACTTCAGAGAAACCTTGGGGTTTTCCTCAAATGATGAGCAGCAAAGCCATGGGTAGCACAGTTACTGAAGTACCTGGTTACCTCTGCTTTGGTATCTTGTAGAACACAAATCCTGATAGAGACTTAAAATGATAATGAGACACACATGCATAAACAGGCACTGTAACAGGGACCTAGAGGCGGGACAGCAGATGTCCCTGACTAACTAAAGCAGGGTAAAATCTGGCATCTCTGCCTTCGTTTGTGTGACAGTTTCTTTTATTACCAAGTCAGTTGGAGTAGATAGCTGCTCAGTTCTGTAAGTGGGTATATTAATCAAAAGGAATACCTATCTAACACCAGTAATACAGATAGCTGTCAATTTATCTAGACTATCTCATCACCCTTCATGACTCAAGACACTGAGATAGCAGTAACTAAAAGAATTATCATGATTTTCAGAAATAATCAACGGCCAGTTTTTATTACACCTTGCTCCAGACCCCCTGGAGCAACGCCTAGCAGACTCCAAGCATTGTCCTAAACCTGCTGTCATCTCTGATTCCAGGAAAAGCAGAGCCTTGCAGGTCACCCATGGATAAAGTCACCCCCTAAAAGAATAAGAACCCACGACAGAGGGAAAAATAAAAGGTTGCCCTCACTCAAATCCTCTAGCAATCTCATCTTTCCCAGAACTTCGGGTCTTGAGATAATGATAGAATGGGCCAGATTCTCAAAGGCAAATTTTAGACTCTTTATCTGTCCTTTCAGGGTAGCCATGATGATTAAAGGTCCTTTCCTACCCGTCATCACAGCTCATGTCCCGGCAGTTCAGGACGATGGCTGAGCCCAGTATGTTGGGACCCCAGAGCCAGAGGTTTTGCCCTGGTTTAGGGCATGATGAGGAAGAGTACGTGAGTACAACTGCAATGACAGTTGTGCAATGACATCAGAGACCAGATCCTTGACTTCCCTAGGAATACTATAAAACCAACCCTCCCACCCTTATGTTTGGATCAGCCTGGGATTTCTGTCCCCTAAAAGCTTCATCCTGGTGCTTGAACACAAGGGGGGAAAGGCCTTGTTCCTATATTACTGCCATCTCTGTCTCATTCTTCTCGTAGAACCCACTGGAAGAGCTGAGTGTTTTCTCCAATTTAATGGGGTCTATGAGATCCCAGAAATTCACCTCATGAAGGGACAGGCATGGAAAGAAGCTGAGAATGGACAGCTAACACAGCCCAGAGCTTTGACAGAAAGCATAGCAGACACTCCTGAGAGCTCCATAATCAAACCACTGATATTTATCCAGTGGCAGCAGAGTCCTCCGACTCCCAAGCTCTCAGTGACCAGTAAGGGGCAGGCCTTACCCCTATCAGGGTGCTTTTCTCACCCTGAGAAGGCCATCAAGATGACGTTAGGTGTTACAGGAGCCAGAGCACAGGCACTGGGGTGGTTTGTTTTTTCAGCAAACACTTCTTGAGCTCTTAGTACAAGTCAGGCACTCTTCAAGGGATATGATAGGAAACTGGCATGAAATGGAAGAAAAGTCACTTCCTTTTTAATTCTCAGTTTTTGGAAATAACAATAAAATGGAGGTAGACGAAATTTCCTATTAGCCGGAAAACAACAAAGCAGCTTCAGAATTTTAGACCATTACAAGAAATGAGCAAAAAACAAACAAGAAAACCTGGTGGAAGGCTGGGGACGTAGCTCAGTGGCAGAGCTTGCCTGGCATGCAGGAAAGGCTGAGTTCAGGTCCCAGTACTGGGAAAAAACAAAACAAAAACTGAGAAGCCCCACTGTAGCACAGTGAGAGACCAGGACAGCTGTCCAGCGGCCCTTCCCTGTACCCTGTTATTTCCTTACTGATTAAAGTCAAGAAGCTCTGCAGTTACAAACCATCACGCAAATGCACTACAAACTGGAGACAACCAGGCCCCAGGAGTGAACACTCCCAGCGCTTATGCCTGGAATCCCTCAGCACAAAACCAGGCTTTACATGACTTCAGGTGTTGTGCGGAAAAGAGGAGTATCACAGCCTGTAACCCAAGACACTGCCTCCTGGATAGTCTTAGAATCAGTGTCTCCTTTATATGTAGGTATTTATTTCCTAGCCCAGATGCGCACTCAGATGGCCCTCAAGAGTAGGAAATGTTCTTAACATTTAAAAAACAAACAAAGCCTCATTTGGATTATATTTTTTGACTTTTTCTTTTTTTTAATTTTAAGAAAGGCTCTTGCTCTGCAGTGCGGGCCGGCCTTGAACTCACCATGGAGCCCAAGGCCAACGTCCAGCTCCCAGCGATCCTTCTGTCTTAGCCTCCCCGGCGCTGGGATGACCCGCCTGCGCCATCACAAACTGAGATGGGATGAAATTCGCAGAACCTAACCGCACAAAGGTTTCTAAACAGCGGGGACTCATCCCAAGGCGCCTGGCACGCTGAGTTTTTGAAAGCTTACCTAACCTCTCCTTCAGGGTGGCTAAAACAAAGGCAAAAATTCCAAGTCATCCTGCGGGCCCCTCCCCAGCCGGGCTTCCTGCCGTGGGTGTGGCGGGGGAGAGGACCGGGGTGCAGGGCCTGGACGGGAAGAAGGGCCCGCCTGCAGGGCTGCTCCTCCGAGCCCCGCCCCCGCGTAGTGCAGCCGGGGTCAAGCGCCGGCCGCACCTGCAGGGAGCCCTCGGTGCAGAAGCCGAGACCAGGAGCGGTTGCAGGGCGAGGATCCCCCAGGGGAACCAGCGGGACACCCGAGAAAGAGGCGGGGCGCAAATGCAACCCGAGAGATCAAAAGGTGGTCGGGACCCCAAGAGGAAGTTGGGGAGGAGGGGCTTTCCCTGCTCGCCCAGGGCCGAGAAGCGAGCAACACCTCCAGCTGGCGCAGCCCGGAGGTCCCACGCCTTTAACGCGGAAGCTTGTCAGCGCTAAAGCCTGACGTGTGGGGAAAAAAAGAACAAAGGAAATCGGAAGGCTCGAGTACATCAAAGGCAAAGGGCTCCGAGAAATGCTGCAAAGGGACGCTTCAGCTCTGAATGCCTTTGCAAGAGACGATGCTGATGCAGCCGCCGCTGCAGCTGCGACTCCGAATGTTGCCTTCTCTTTAACCGCCAGGGTGCTACCGCAGCGTTCTGAAGTCCCTTTTCTATCCGTATTTGTAATTCACTTTTGCAGCCGACCAAGCTTGAGACTGCGGAGTACCCTCTACAGTGTTTGAGCTCTGCGGTTCCGCAAGGCGAAGGCAGGTCCACCATCGCCCTCTGCCGGCGACTTCGAGAAGCTGCAGCAAACAAGCTAAGAAAAGAAAGCTCGTTTTAGGTTGCTGCATTCTTTTTATTAAAGTTTACCGCGTGTGTAGTTATCAGACTTAAGCATTCGCCAGAATCTCCTGGAGGGTTCGTTAAAACAAGATTTGTGGGCTCCGCCCCCTCAGAGTTTCTGATAAAATGAGTCTAAAGTGGGCCCCAGTAATTTGCATTTCTAGCAAGTTTCTAGAGGATGGAGACAGGGCATCCTCCACCAACAGCTGCCTTACACACAGGTTCCCTGGGCCAGGTGGGAGGGCGCTTTACAGCCATCAGTGGGCCTAATTCTGTAGCAGGAAGGAGCCCGAGATCAGAAAGCTGGAAAGGGTTGCTATTTGCCACGACGTTGTAGAAGATGAAGTATCTTTTCATGGCCACCACTGGGTTGATGGCTGAGGGCCATAAAACAAAGATAGATTAGTGAAAAAAAATTACACAAAATCATTTAATAGAATAAAAAACTTCTGACATGTGTACCTTCGAAATGAAGACCCAGAAGAAGTGAGAAACCTGTGGTTTTGTTGTTGTTTGTTTTGCTGTCCTGGAGATAGAACCCGGGCCTCCATGATGACCTGCAAGTTCAGCCCTTATTTTTCATTTCGAGAAAGAATTTTGCTGAGTTGCTTACGTACCCAGGGTGAGCTCACACTTATGATCCTCCTGTCTCAGCCTCCCAAGATGCTGAGATTAGAGGTGTGGGCTACCATGCCTGGCCCTGTGTAATTGTGCTTAGGTTTTATGAAGAGTAGACTGTCACAGGGAACTGCGACTAGACACAGGGGTTTGACCCAGTGAGAATAATTGGGGTCCTTGGCGAGGGCTGTCTGAGATTTTATAGGGCAGTCCTGTGTCTTTCCTCCAGGTAAAGGTGAAAGGTTCTTGCTTTAGTAGAAATTATGGCGGTGGTCTAACGTGGCAGAAGGTCAAAGCAGGACTGCCTCCCACTTCCTGCTTCTTGCTCAGCCTTAATTGCAGCTCCCCTTCCTGTTTGCAGGAAAAGAAGATTCCAGTCAGCTCTTAGCGCCTCATCAATGCCCGTCCTAAGTCGTCGTCGTCCCCCCCCCCCCCCCCCCCGCCCAGACGTTATATGTATATCCCAAACCCCACTTTCCAGTAGAGAAAGCCAGGCCGCCAGTGGTCATGGACTTCTGTTCAGGTCCTTGGAATAAAGGCTATTTTTATTTTCTCTCCTTCATCGTGCTGAAAACTCAGAATTCAGAGAATTCAGAAACAGAGAACACTACAGAATTCTTTCCGGGTTTCGTGGCCTGCTTGGGGAGACAGGTAAGAGGGGAGAGTGACCTTCCTTCCCCCTTCTGCTGTTTTCTCAAATGCTGTGGTGCCACATTTGGGGGTAGCATGTCATGACTGTCATGCAGGGAGTAAATGTTGCCACCTGAATGAGAACCCAGACCCTTTAGCCAGTTGCTGTCCCCGGCAACTTGCCAAGCTTCAGGCCTAATGCAGGTGAGAGAAGTGATGTCTCCACCTGCCCCCGGAGGAAAACATTTCCAAACTGGCTGACAGAGGCAAATCTCCCACAGTCACCTGCCAGCCTCCTCCTCATCACACCCATGTGACCACACTCTCACTCCCCCAGACTGCTGGGCCCAAGAGCACAGTGACAAAAATCACAGGCAGCGCCCACTGTGGTCGTAAATTCCTCCTTAGGTCTCTGTACAAAAGCAGATGTGAGAAAGGCAAATGTGTCTTGTTGCCGCTTTGACCAGTTTCCTGGCTTCTCCCTGCCCTGAGGGGGAAAAGCTCTTTAGTGGGGCTCTGCACTCTCACCCCTGCCCCTTCCCTGCCCACTTCCCCTTTCTTCTCACTGCATGCTTTGCATTCTGATTCTGCTTTCTCTTCTCTGCCTGCTGACCTTCCACACCTGTGGGTTTGTGTTTTCCCTAGAAAGTTCTCTGCTCAGCTGCCCAGCTTTACCTTTTCTGAACCGTCACTTGGCTGAGTGACTTCTACTTATCTGTCAGGATTCCACTGATGCTTTTGTGTTTGGATAGACTCTTCAGCACCCTCCTCCAAGCCTGAACAGGAGCCCATATGAAAGTGATGTGGAGGGGAGGAAAGAGTTTGTCCTCCACCTAAGTGATAAGTTTTACAACTCAGACCCATATAACAAGAGATAGGTTAATAAGAGAACAGCATATACACGTATTTAATGTTTTACATGGCATGGGAGCCTTCCAAAATGAAGACTCAAAGGAATGGGGGAAATGGGTATTTTTATGAAGAGTTGTGCAGAAGCATAATCAGAAGACAAAAGAATATGATCTAATGGTAGTAAGTGGGAGCAGATTTAGCAAGGCCTGTTTGCTCAGATTTTGGTCTGTGTCCCTGTGTCTTCAGAGATGAGGCTCCTCCATTCACTGGATAGAGGAAGGAACTCTCTGGAATGGAGGGTTTTATGGACTATTTCAGGGGAAAATCAGTTAGCTTTTATGGTCCACTTCAGCAGACAAAGGGTGAGCATTGTTCTTTCTAGAATACAGTCTGCTTCTGTTGTTCCCTTGAGTGCCAAGGGACTGCGCTTTGGGATCCTGTGTCCCACAGCACCCAAGTAGAACATGATCCCTAACACTCACTGTGGCAACTGCAGATTTATGGTGATTCTTCTCATTAGACTCCTCAAGGAAAAATACATTTGTCCCTTCAGATTTAGATATACTGACCAGAACATAGTGGGCCCACAACACGTGGACTAGATGTAGTCACAGAGAGTTGGAGTAGACAGTTTCTCCATCAGAGGTCCACAAGAGCTGAAAGGAAACAAACAATGGTGTATTAGTCAGTTTTCCCATTGCTGGACGCAGTAACCAACACCAGCAAATTAGAGGAGCTGAGGTTTATTGTGACTCACAGTTTTAGGGACATTCGGTTCATGATTGACTGATTCCATGCTCAACCCATGACAGCCAAGAAGAGTGAGGGAGACAGAGAGAGGGAGAGGAGAGGAAGAGGAAACGCAGGGTCGGGCACAAAACTACACTTTTCAGGTCATGCAGCACTCCCACTGTGCCCCGTGTGCAAACAGGCTCCGCTTTAGAATAGCAAGGCAGCTGAGAACTCACCAGTGGACTGGTTCACTGATGTGGCACCCTGTCGTCTAGTCACCTTCCAAACACAGGAGACCTTAGGGGACACTTTAAATCCAACCTATAGGGCAGTGTGGCAGACTGTGGCCCTTCCACGGGGAGAACCACCAGTGTTTCCTGAGATCCGCGCCATGTTAGAACTTAGGACCCTAGGAAACCAAGCAACCAGCTGGCCTCCCTGCTAAGCAATAGTGAACCTACTGGCGCACGGCCTAGAGTCAACCATTCCACTTCCCCTACCCCTATTCTCCTGTCCCCGCGTTACCAAATGAGAACCAGAAATCTGAGCATCTCCTGGGAGGCTGACCATAGCAAATAAAGGGGATTTCCTTCTACCATCTCTTTGAAGGCAAATATTTTTATTACTGTTTTGCTCTATTCTGATTAATGGTACTGCTGTATTCAATATTCTGTTTTGATAAGTTCTATAATGTTCTGTAGTTCATTTTATTTTGATATACGTGATTGAAAGAACAATTATTGTAAAGATAACGAAATATACTGTGATACCTATTACTGTTATCCCAGTAACCTGCTGTGAAATTCTGTACCAATTTCACTGTATGATCTTAGTTGGCTTTATTCTGTCTTGTTCTGTTGTATTTTACTACTTTCAAAATAAAATTAAAAAAAAAATCCAACCCATAATGGTGAGTTCAAAAAGTATCTGAAGGTCATAAAACACAGCCATATTCAAGCCCCACTCTGATCCCACACACCAAAGGCATGTGATGCTGCATCCTGGAAGTCCTGGGACAAATCACAAACTTTCAAGTGTCATGGCTGGTGGGACCTTAGAGATTTCAATAAGGCACTGAAAGGAGGTATGAATTGCCTGGGCTGTGCATTTTTAGCAAAAACAGTAATAAGTGTTTCTCCAGTCTTTGGTCTCATTATGCAATGATATTTTCACCACACATGTTTAAGACACTGGCTAAGCCCAACAACAGAAAGATGGAGCTAAAAACAAGAGGGGCTCCCCACAGTGGCATCAGCCGTGGGCCCATGGACTACAGCGCTTACATGTCCCTTCAGAAAACACCATAGACCTAGGCAACAGAAAAGAAAAACTAAGAGTAAACACAAATTTACAGCTTTGTTGATCTTCACCAAAAATGCCAAAAAGCATATAGAAGGAACCACAGTCTTTTCAACAGATAATGATGGGAAAATTGAATATCTATATGTAAAAGAATGGAATTGGATGCCTGTATCATCACATCACAAAAGATCAACTCAAAATTAGTCAAAAACTTAAGTGGAAGGCCATGAAACTACTCAAAGAAAACATAGGAGAAACATTTGGGTATAAGTAATAGTTTTTTTGCAAAACCCCCTAAAGGCAAACAACAAAAGCAAAATTTTACAAAGTGAATTATAGCAAATTAAGAAGCTTCTGCATGGGAAAGGAAACACTAAACAAAATGAAGAGAGGAAACCTCCAGCATGAGAGAAAATGTTCACCAACTATTCATTTAATAAGGGATTAATATCCAGGATATGCATGAAACTCAAACAATTACACAACAGAAGAAAAATCTCTGATTTAAAACTGAGTAAATTATCCGAACACATGTATCTTAAAAAGGGATATAGAAATAGCCAACAAATAATGGAAAAAAGTGCTTAACCTTACTAATCATGGAAATGGAAATCAAAGCCACAATACACTATCACACCACCATATTACAACGGCTATTATCAAGAAGAAAAATTAAAGATGCTGGCTAAGATGTGGGGGCACAGAGGAATGCCTATGTACTGTTGGTAGCAATGTAAGTTAGCATTGCACTCTAGAGAGCAGTATGGAGGGTCCTCAAAAAACTAGAAATAATCAGTAGTGTGGCGCATGCCTGTTATCCCAGCAAATGAGATATGAAGCAGAAGGATCACAAGGTCAAGGCTGACCTAAGCTATATAATGATTCCCTGCCTAAAAATTACCACACAATCCAGCAATCAAAATACAGAGCACATCCAAAGGAATTAAAACCAGTATGTCAAAGAGATGTGTGCACTCAATGTTTTTCACATCGCCTAGATACAGAATCAACTCGTGTCCATCAATAGAAAAAGGCATAAATAAAATGTAGCTCATATGCATAATGAAATATTATCTATCCATTGACAAAAAAGAATGAGCTCCTGTCATTGTGGCAATGTGAATGGGACTGGAGAATACGTCATGTTAAATAAGCCAAGCACATACAAATCAACACCATGTGTTCTCACCCATATGTGGCAGCTAAGATGATGACTTCATGTAAGTATAGTGTATAACTGTGGTCACTAGAAGTTATAAAGAGAGGCAAGGGGAATGAATGGAGATTGGATAATACATACCAAAATACAGTTTATAGCACACGCTGTGATAACAGTTCTCAACAGTTCATTGAAAAGAATTAGCAGAAGGAAATTTAAAACTTCCCAACACACACTCGCACACAAACCTACACAATGATAAATGTCTGTGGAGACGAAAATGCTGATCTGGTCTCATTATCCATTTGTATACATAGTGAATGATCATACTCTACCCCACAGATAGGTATAATTAATATGTACCCAATAAATATAAATACAATGCTGGTCATGGTGGCATATCCCTGTAATCCTAGCTACTCAAAGGCTGAGGAGGAAGAATTATGAGTTTGAAGCCAGCATGGGCAACTTAGAGAGATCCTGTCTCAAAAATAAAGGTTTTAAACTGTGGAGAAGAATTGTGGTACATGCACTCCTGTAATTCTAACCCTCTAGGATGCTGAGGTAAGACAGATTTGTTCATGAGTCTGACAATATAAGTCTTGTATACCTTTGATCCAAATACACAATATAAAACATAAAACACACGCAAATATTGTAAATGAAATAGTTTTGCATTTACAGTTACTTTGCAATGGTGACACACTACAGCACAGTACAACTGGCATCGCGGGGATGCCTGCAGTGAATAGCTACTAACTGGAGGAGAGAGAGTGCGTGGGAGATGGTGGAGCACCTGTTCACTGCAGTCCAGCCTCTCAAATATTTTCACTTTTGTTTCTATGGTTCTTGTGCCATGCTTCCTAGCAGTCACCTCCACATCACCACTGTTGTTCCTCTTGCTTCCAAGCATCCTGGGCTCTGATGGAGCTCTGTGCTACTCTGTACCGCACAGTGAGCACACAGAACACAACGGTGACAACATCCAGCAGACATGTGAGCTACTTCTGTGATTTGTTCACATCTATGAATTTTTGTAATGCGAGGTCCTTTCGTAACTGCAAGAGTTTACAGCTTGAAGGTGTGTGGGATGGGGACTTACAGGAATGAACAGCAAACCCAGAGGACCAATCAGTGGGCCCAAATGTGGCCTCTCTTGGAGATAACAGGAACCATTAGAACCACCTTTTGTGTCCTTCAGGATTAGGCATTGTTTTTCATTGCTAAACCTAATAGTGTAACAATGTCATTAGCACCTTGTTTGGCTTCTTACATTGGAAGAATTTCTAAAACTTTTTCTCTATATATGAAGGGATCTTTTTTTCTCTTTCGTGAGAGACCTTGTGCATGCTAGACAAGCACTCTGGCACTTGCCTACACCTCCAGCCCACCTGAGGAAAAGTTAGGTGACAGAGAAAATCAGGGGCTCCAAAAGGAAGATCATCATCATTTTATTTTTAAAAACAAGCTTCTTTAGTTCCAAATTTTACACTGTAACCTGTCATCATACAAGGTCATATTCCTGGCACTTACCAATAACATCCCCAGTGCATAAGGTGAAACATTCTAGAAAGATCTTCCCATCTCATAACAAAAAGTGGCTCCCATATATCCTTTTCAAACCAACTGTTGCATCAGAGTTTCCTCTTGGGTGAAATTTCCCCAAACATGGTAGGAGAGCTGGTTATGGTGGTGGGCACCAGTAATCCAAGCTACCACAGAGATTAAGGCAGAGAGGCCAAGTTCCAGGCTAGGCTGGGTAACGAGTCCTTGTCCCAAAGTAAAATTAAGAAGAGTGCTGGGTATATAATTTAATGGTGGGATATATGAAGAGACTCAAAAGAATGTCTTAAAGATATTGACAAATTCAAACTTTCTAATGTCTGAAAGGATTTTGCCCTGGATGGGAAGCTGCAGCAGTGGAAGGCTGGGAGGCAGAACCAAGAGGCTCTATCTTGAGGTCATCTTCCTGCCCCTAGGCAATTTACCGGTGGCATGAAATGAATTCCAATGGGCTACCTGTACATCAGTAATGCCTGGTAGGCACCATCCCAAACCTAAGCTATATGTATGCCGCCATACCATGTGTCGGGCAGAGAGAATGCCAGACCCTGGAGGTCATGGAGTCTCTCTCCACATTCTTAAAATAAAGGCCACTTTTAGTTTGTATTTCTTATCTTTTTAGCCACGCTGAAAATCCTATCAGATGGTTCCCTGATTGGAAATGGCAGACGAGAGACTCCTGGGACCTCCCAGTCTGAGTTCCCTGCTGGTTCACAGACTGGACTGCATACTGGATTAATTCCTCACTTCTCAACACTCGGGAGCTGCTAAACTTATCACTGCTGGTTTGCAAACAACACCAGTCTAATTCATTTACTGCAGGTGAGCCAGACCTGTCCAAAGATTACTCCATAGTGGGGCTGGGCTCCATGCCAGATTTTCTTCCCATTCCTTGGACTGGGGTAGGGCTCTCATGTCCCTTGGGGCATCCCCAAGGCAAAGCCATTACTAATCCATGGAAAATCCACTTGTGCCTTTTTTGGTGACCACC